GTGTGTGTGAATGTGTGTAAGTGCATATATATATATATATATATATATATATATATATGTATATATATGTAAAAAATTGCAAAAGGGCCGCAAGCAGTGACTTGGAAGGTTGGTTAAATGATTTAGATCTGCGCAGGTAGCAGCACTGTATTAATCGTTAGCAGAAAGCGGTTTTCAAAAACCATCCCCCATCAGTTACACTTGTTGTGACATCGACTGATCAAAAGGCAATGAAAATTAGAGGAATTCAATTCCCTCCAGTGGAATAAGCCAACTGAAAAAAGGGGAAATCCGGAACAGATGCAATTTTCGTGAATTCATAATTTACATTTACTTGAATACAGCGGAATTTTTCGTAAACCGTATACTTCACTTACCCATTCGTTCCATAATTTCCATGACGGCCTTTACTATGTGATCATAGCTGGCATCATCAAGTTTTTCACACACTGCAGCTGGGTACATAAGTGTTGTGAGTTTGTCCATACGCAACGGATCTTCAGTAAACATTTTGTAATACCATTCTAACGCTTTCGGTGGTATATCCTGGTAGATCTGTACAGGTAAATCTTTGTTCACTAAAACAAAAAATTTTAAGGTGGCCGAACATAATAATTAAGGGAAAAAAGGCTGGAAGCTGAAAAATCTATTAATGGAAGCTGGGATACGGCTATCATTATGAAGACTGCAGTTAACAGCTTGACATCAGATTTCACGTAAGCGATACAAAGAAATACTTCTTATTTCTGCTGAGTAGAAAAAGAATAAGAAACATATGATTACCTTTCGAAATGGCTCCAAATACCACTACACTCCTAGTTTCCACCCCTCCCGTTCCCCCCTTTCTCCCCCGTCCTTTTCTCCCCTCAAAATTCAAACTTCTGACACAAAAACTCCTCCGACTGATAATTACCACTACAGCTGAGAGTGTGGGGATAACCAGTTACTGAGATGAGGCAGCGTGCAAGCGCTGGGGAGTGTGAGATGCACATAACATTTTTACTTGGGAAAACGAAGAAGGAAAGAGGGAAGCAAATGTCATACAGCCACAGTTTTTGGGCTGCACCCCCTTATTTGTACCTCTTTTTCAATTGTTCATACACCCCTGATAAAACCACTAATTCCCAATTTCAGTTACAAACACAGGCACATAAATAGGTGCATAAATACACGGGAACACTCATTCTCTTCCGGCGTCAGATTTTTCATCACAGGGAATCTCAACAAATTCTGGCACTTCATGACATTCCATGTTCACCTATTTAAATGCAGGCGTACCTTCGGATGCTAGAGAAACTAAGCGATCCATTGCTTGTCGATTATAACATATACCGAACCAGAACAAGTCGTTCAACGCCTCGCGCCTTTTGTTTTCATCTTTGTACAGCCTCAAAATATTGTCCATATCTTTTGCACTGCCTGAAACAAATCAAAAAGAGCTGATTTTGCAGACTTTTTTAGGCTTAATTATGTGTCTGGAAATGTGAGACAATGAGGTGAATAGTGGAAGATAAGACGATATTCGCAAACAGAACACTGCTAATTTGAATGCCCAAACAGAAATGCAGTAAAGCAAGCGCTGCATGAGAGGATAAAGGGCAGCGCATTCCCCGTTATGCGCAAAAAATCAAAACTGAAAGATTAGCTTAAAAACCATACTTTTTAGAGCATGACAGCATCTTATCACAAGAAATAATAAGAAAAAGTCATTAATGTCTCAAGATTATTACCAAAAAATTCGCGAAATTCCTCTAGTTTGCTTGCACTGTCAATTGCTCTGAGCAGTTCGGCTTTATATAAGCGAAAATGGCCAAGGCGAAAGTTGTCGTCTTTTTCAATCTGAAAAAAGCACAGTCATCTTTGCAGCAACTAAATGCCTGAAACAAACGAATAATTTGATTTTCCGTTGTTTCGTGGTGGCGCTCCTTTAACCCCTGATGCAGATGAAAAATTCTTCACTGTTTCCTTCATTTTAAGCCTCTCCCATTCGCAAACTGTATGGGCATTCAAACGGATTTTCCCGTCTTCACTGAAAGAGTTCCATTCCGCAATCAACTCTGTTCATTCGTTGGCCTTCATTCTTGCCACAGATCCGCTTAATTCTTCTTAAGTATATTGCCTTGATAGCACTACTCAGATCAGACCGGTGTACTACGACGGAGATGTACCAATACGCCGTCCCAAACATCACTGGGCGGCTAATAAACTTCTACTCAGCAAGCGTGGTATTCTATGTTTCACTGCCATATAGCACAACGTGTTTACAAACTGAAGCTTTCCTAGTTGATGTTACGTTGGAACTTTACTCCATCTAATTGTCGTTTCTTCTGCCTCTTTTTGTCAACTTCTGCTTTGCTTTTCGTTTTCCATTAAGCACCGCGACCATCATACTAACGAGGTCCTGTCGCGCGGTGCTGAGTTAAAGCGTATATGATTTAATGAACCGAAACGTCTTATCTCACTCTTACCTTCTTCTATAATGCTGTTCATTGATGCTGCAATCTGTCGCGCCCCCGTCATTTAGGCTTCCAGGGTCAATCTGCTTATCATTATCAATGAAACTATTTAACGATTTCAAAGCAAACAATATTCATCACATTGTGCGAGACTGGATTAACCAACAAAGCGGACGAAGCAGAACCAGGTAAGTGAGAGGATTACCAGAATCTCGAAGCGGAATGTCTCGTCGATCGGGATTTTTGCGGGATGCATTACTGCATCGGTAGCTTTCGCCGGTATGCTGTCGACAGATTCTTCCAGGGCACCGACGCCATCAGTCTGCTGCTGCTCCGGCATTTTGCTGAAATTGATAAGCCATCCACACATAGCATCTAGCCGTTGCAGATCAGGCCAAGTACCCCCGTTTGTCACAAAGAAAAACCTGCGCCGCACGAAAAAATATCTGTTCGGTGAAGAGATTAATGATGATAAGCAAAAACTGTATATGTATATGTATATATATGTATATCAAATATACGTTATATATGTACTACATGTTAAATATATTAAAAATATACATATTAAAAAATTGGATTAACAAGGATGTTTAAGTTGTACACATTCCTACTCAGTACCACAACTACTCTTCATCAGCACGACAGCTGTGCTTCTGATATATTTGTATAAGGAGGTCATGTAAAATAAATGGCAACGCGCACCAGGCTAGCCGGTGCGATCATGCGTTTTGTGTAATTCATCCCATCGATCGATTGCCTGTTAATGATTTTCACTTCCTTGTACTTTAGTCTATGCAAAAATAGTTC